AACAAAAGCGCGTGCTTGCCAATCCAATGCTCTGACATCAGCAACCCGTTTACATGAAAGTAAACAAAACAGCATCAACAGTTTGGTTGATAATTGTTTAAGAGAAAGTTCGTGATTCAAAGGCCAAGACTCGAGAAAACGAAAAATCACATTGACATCCCAGAAGGAAGAATACCGAGCCTGCGGGGGTCGAGCAAACCGGATGCCTTTGAGCAAACGACAGATGAGGGTATGTTTACCTATTGGAGTATCATCCAAACCCATATGTCTCGCTGATATAGCTGACCTGTATAGATTTATAGTCCGAAAGGCTTTACCTTCTTCAAAGAGTAGAGTCAGGAATTGTAAAATTATTTTCACAAGAGCTGATATGGGATCCACTGATTGTCCCACGCACCAATCAGTCCACTTCCTCCAAGCTGACCCGTAGGAACGTCTGGTACCTGGTGCCCAAGACTCTGCCAAGAGACTGGGTGTCGTCTGCGAAACATCCTCGAGATTCCATGTTCTCCTGAAAGGAACCATGCCATCAGGTGAAGTAGACCCTGGTCGATCAACTCGTGACTCATTCCCTCTGGATTGGTCAGGAGGTAGGGTATGTCCGCCAACAGTCGCGGGGAATCTATCGACATTTCTAATAACTGTGGGAACCAAGGTTGTGACCTCCATATCGGGGTTATCAGCACTAGAGTCCCTTTGGAATATCGAAGGTATGCAAGGGTCCGAGAGATTAGGTTGAAAGGTGGAAAAGCGTAATTCTTGCCCTTGGACCAGTCTTGTAAGAATGCGTCTGTCGCCAGCGCATCTGGGTCCGGTCTCCAACTGAAGAACCGAGGAAGTTGGGTGTTCAGTCGAGACACGAAGAGATCGATGTTGAGAGGTCCCCAAAGTCGAGAGAGACGTTGGAAGATCATTGGGTGGTGATGCCAATCCCCTGCGTCTCGAAGATATCGAGAATTCCAATCCGCCAGTGCATTGTCCCGTCCTGGGATATATTCCGCTATTACCGAAATGTTGTGTTTTAGACAAAAGTGCCCAAAATCTCGAGCCATCATTGCCAGAACTTTCGATTTCGTTCCTCCTAGGTGGTTGATATAACGCACCGCTGAAACGTTGTCCATCTTGATTAGGATAGAGCGACACGTACTGCGCATGCGCGGCCGTTAGGAAAGTTGGAAAAACCGGCAAATGAGCGTTCGCGCATGCGCGGACCGGAAGAAAACCGCGGAATAGACCGCGGCCAAAACAGTGAGCGGCTAAGGTGAGCAGCTAAGGGCAGCCCTGCTGAACCCACAGAAAAAACGGAACGAGCAGGGGGAAGAGTATAACACTACTCAGAGGGGGAAAACCTAGGGTCCCAGAGACCCCTATTTAATAGGCAGCACTCCCAGACACCAGCATTAAATAAACCAGCAACAACAGTGTAGCATAAAATAAGCATAAACATACACTATGCTAAAATCTTTACCCAAAATACACATATATGTATGAAAATCACAGGAGTAGCAAGAGATGAGTTACTTAACTTGTCTGAGGGAGCAGCAAGAAAGAGGAGGAGTCAAGGAGCACCACACCCATATGGATAATACTGGATGCTGATTGGTGCCACTGTTACCAGGCTGTTGTTATGTTTTTTTATATGATTCTCTCATACTTCCTTTTCTTGCTGCTGGGAGTATAATAAAGAAAGAGAATGCATAGTAGGAGCCTCCGTGTCTTTAATAAAATCTAAACTTACCAAACCATTTTCCTGCTGGTTACCTTGCTGAAGTCAGAAACATAGTTAAGATAAAACTGTGCTTACACTTCTTTTCCTCTGCCCCAGACTGATCCTGCTTCTCCTCAGGCTCCACCTTCTTTTCCTCTGCCCCAGACTTTCCCTGCTTCCCCTCTGCCCCAGGCTCTTCCTGTTTCTACTCTGCCCTAGGCTTTCCCTGCTTCTCCTGTGCCCCAGACTCCACCTAATTTTCCTTTACCCCAGACTCCTCCTGCTTACCCCCTGCCCCAAGCACTTCTTGTTGCTCATCTGCTGTAGTCTCTCCCTGCTTCTCCAGGCTCACCTTGCTTCACACAATGCAGATAGACACTGTGACACACATGCAGACACACAGATAGATGCACAGACAAACAAGTACTCACAATGACGTGCAGATACACAAATACAAATAATGACACACATACATATACTGATAATTACACACATGAGGATGCACAGATAGATACAAACACTATATACATACAGTTCGACAGACCCACTGATACACATACAAATGTACAGACACAAATATCCAAACAATGACACACACACAGATAAACACTGACATACATACAGATGTACAGACACACAGATCCAAACAATGATACACTCACACACATACAAAACAGACACATGCAGCTACACACGCAGACACACATTATTTTCTCTTCTAGCCCGCGCCTCCCAGTCCAGCGTCCCTTTGTGCAGTCCAAGAACACAGAGACTGGCCAGGGATTTCTTAAGCCATGGTGCGCCTGACCGGGAGCTACCCAGAAACCTTGTGGAAGTGTTGCTCTGAGTGCAGAGTTGCAGCGATCGGATGAAACTTTGACAAGGGTGCTCTCGGTCCCAGAACCACCAATCACGTCGCTTTTTGGTGAGGTGACAGAGGAGGTGGCGAGGCATCCAACAATACCAATGACTGAAGGAACTCCATGTACCAACTGAAAGCACCATCATTTGGTAACCGGGGATTCTACCCAGCACTCTGGAACTCTGAGCCAGATCGGAGTATGGTGGTGGACTGCTGAAAACTTTACATTCCATCTAATTCAGGCTAGACAAATCCAATCCAAGTGCTTCTTGGACAGATTGTATGCTCAGAAGAGAGCTTCTCATGGGTATCACTACTGTGGGGATGTGGGCACGGAAACCACATGTTTTAACTGCTTTTGTTAACCTGGTGCCAAGGTGTCCGGCTGCTCTTTAAATTATCAGCTCAGGCACAGACACAAAGGTGCCAGATATGTCGCAGTTCTATTGTTCAGACACAGACACCCAAAAACACATACAGGTCACAATTCTAGCCACCCACCAGTTTCCTACCTTGTAGGTATAGGAGAGACTTCTGCTGGCTGGGACTGATGGTTGTAAGGGGCTCTTCTCCCGGTCCAGCACCCCCTCATGACTCCACCCTCTTGCGCGGCTCTGTCTGTGCTAACTGGGAGGAAGTGCCTGGCTCTCTCTCATTTCCTCCCAGCTCTCCAAGCAGGTTAGAAGGGGCTAGGTCACGCTTTTAAAGCACTGCAGTACACGACAGGGTCCCTAATGGCACAAATCCATCAGTGGACCCTAAGTGCATGGGCCATGTGAAGGAGGTCCTACTTTACCATACTAATGTCTGATCTTATGAGATTAACCCACTTACTTGGGGAAAAAATTATATCTGGGGCTCTCTGCAGTACAAGGTTAAATGGAACCCTGAAATGAGACACCTGTTACAAGGAGGCGTGCAAAACCAGAAAGTTGGCCTAGACTCCTAAATATATTTGTATATGAAAACCACGGGGCTGCTCTCACCTGAACATGCATAAATAGGGTGCTGCTGGGGCCAATTCATACAATACATGAGATCCAGCGCATTCACTCAACCACTAAATAGCAACTTCAAAGCTTACAGATTTTATTTGTTTAATTTAAAATACACCTAATCTAGGCAAAAATAATGGGGGTTTAGTTACAGTATATGATCATACATTGCATAAGCCTGCCACAACGTCAATGTACCCCATTTTTGGCAGGTCCTACTCTCACAATCTAATGTCTGCTCTTATGAAATTAACCAATTTACTTGGTTACTTGACAGGACAATATGCAGGTTTATATTTTAGGGCATATAACACTTTTCATGTACTGGCCATCAATAGATATACATGACATGTGTCCCTAAACACCTTGAGCATATGGTAACACTATCCCTGGTGTTCTGGAACAAGACTTTGGGGGGCGGGGCCTGTTCACCGACTGAGGCAGACATGTGTTGCTGGAGCTTCTTGATAAAAATCTGAAATTAAGCAATTTACTTCCAAACTGTGGCTAATTTAAGCTTGTAACCTGACTTTACACATGGGGAAGCTGCAGCCCATTAAGCGATCCCTTTGGGTATGCCTTAAATCCCGGTATCAGAGGCTTGCTGGTGAGATCTGGGCATGGCTGATCCTCTGTCCGAGGCCTAGAGCCACCTGAGGCAAGGCCCTCAGGCATCAACCACATGGACTGAAGATCCCTCGCCATCATAGGCACTTACCACCTAGATCTTCTGTCTACAGCTGCAAGGGAAATACTTGGTGCTCACAAATTTTCAGATCTGTGGGCACCAAAACACCTTTACCTTAATTAAGCAGTTTTGGTATATAGATAATGCCCCTGCTGTCTCACTGCTCAATTCCCTGCCATTTAGGAGTTAAATCACTTTGTTTATACAACCCTAGTTACACCTCCCAGCATGTGACTTACACAGCCTTACTAAACACTTCCTGTAAAGAGTCATCTAATGTTTACAATTCCATTATTGCAAATTCTGTTAAATGTAGAAGTTCTTATCTCCTGCTCTGTTAATAGCTTGCTAGACCCCGCAGTAGCCTCCTGTATGCAATTAAAGTTCAATTTACCGAGCATGAGATAAAAACTTTTAAAGTAAGTTACATCTGAGTGAAAATGAAATGTGTTTTCATGCTGGCTGTGTCAGTCATAGCCAGGGGAGGTGTGGCTAGGGCTGCATAAACAGAAACAAAAGCAATTGAGCTTCTAAATGGCAGATAATTGAGCAGCAAAACTGCAGACCTAGTATCAACACTATTTTATTGTAATGATGTACCTGTTCTGCATCATTGTGGATACCTGTAGTCTTGTGATATTTTATTTTTACTTTTTTCGGAATGTCACATCTGTTTTATTGTACTTCATGTAGCTTCTATGCCTCAATAAAACAATAATTGACATTGGGACATAGGGCACAAAATTGAGATCCTCCTGCTGAACTCAAGACTATTGTACAGCATGTGTACATGTCTCCCAACTGTCCTGCATTCAGTGGGACAGATTTAATTTTAGCACACCGTCTGTCCGGCTTTGATGATCTGGTGTTTTGCTTCTGGACTGAGAGGAGGCGTTCGTCTTGAGACAGTGAGAGTTGCGTTTACAATTGATTTAATTCTGACAATAGCTAAAATTTAAATCAATTAGCAATCATGTGTATACAGGGACATTGGACTTTGTTGCAGCATAACATACACAAGGAACACCGTTTTTTATGATTCTAAAAGTGTCCCTGTAATTGTAATCCATAAATTGCAAACTACAGTAATTATTAGTTACACCTCCTACTATTATTTATTCATTTATTTATTTTAGGATGTAATAGATTCTTATAGAAACCTTAATACTTTATGCAATTCAAAATGTCCAAAATTAATGTATTATACGCCTGTACCTACCATCAAACAATGGCGAGCAATAAGGCATCAGCAATATATTTATCAAAATGTAAAACATGCATACAGAGTGGTCTACTTCCACCAGAGAAGGTAGATTGCTCAGTTTCCAAGACACTCATATAAGCAGTTGCCCTACCTATTTAACGCCCCTGCAAAGTTTTGTGGGATCAGACACTCAACCAATAATAACCATTGCACAAGTGTGTGAGAGATTATATATCTACATACAGTATATATATATATTTTTAATGTATTTGTTTCTGTTAGTGTGTGTAATACTGTCGGTGACTGCTAGGTGTCGCTGCTCAACCTTCACAGAATGGGGAACGGACGTTCTAGGAAAGTGTTCTAAGCTTGACAAGCACTCGATTGTACGTTTCCAAAATGGCGGTGTTCACTAGCTGTCTCGTGGGGCAGCTGCAGGTAGAGTGCAATGGGGTTATCAGGGGACACGCTGTATACATGTTAAATTGCCCATAGAGAAGGGGAGGGGGGGTTTACTTGATACACTTCGTAAAATGTGAAATTATTTATTCTTTGTGCGGGTGTAGGAGAGGTGAATCAATGTCACCCAGGATTAATTATTGCTCAGGGCGGAGGGGTGTCTATTATTTGTAATACTCCGAGATAAACAGCACCAAAACCAGCCGAGTGAGAGTGAGTCTACTAACTGAGGTATCATCAGCACACCTGCTACTTCACTTACTGCATGAACCCCTACAGTAACACTCTGTAGGGAATTCATCACCTCTGTGCAGCCTAGTAATACATTTAAAGTAGATCCTCCCTAGTAATTTAAAATATGTGCAACCTAGTAATACATTTAAAGTTATCCAACCTAGTAATACATTTAAAGTTATCCATCCTAGTAATACATTTAAAGTTATCCATCCTAGTAATACATTTAAAGTTATCCATCCTAGTAATACATTTAAAGTTATCCATCCTAGTAATACATTTAAAGTTATCCATCCTAGTAATACATTTAAAGTTATCTATCCTAGTAATACATTTAAAGTATTCTTCTATGTGACTACCTCATTGTATTGCTTAACAGCATGCATTGATTTATGTACTTTATTAGTTCATATATTTAAATAATGCCCATTTTTGCAACAAGTTTCTGTCCTTTTTCACCTGTCCAGTGACCAATCAAACCAGATATGTTCGCCTGGACGGTACAATCCCCGCCTATGGGTATGTAGATGGTCATTGGATGACGTCAAAAAGGGGGTCTCCAGTGGTGGTAGGGTATATCTCCTTTCCAATGGTAGTAGTCCGGTATTCGTATAATTGGTGATATATAAAAAGGATAAAAACACAAAATAGTGCTCTCTGGATAATACAAAATAAAATGATAAAAAAATGGAGGTATACTCACAAGTGAAGAGCAAATAGGATATTGCTCAATATATGTAGGCGTAGGTGGTATGATCCCCACCAAGGATATCACTCCTCGAGTCCTCCGGTTGGGGTGTTGGAGAGAGTAAAATGAATTATATTATAAAATAGAATAAAAAGGATAGGCTTGGAGGCTCCAATAGCATAAATGAGCTATCTTTATTGGAGACTAAAAAAAAATAGTTACATCAAAACAGCTTTAAAAGACTAACGCGTTTCGCCTGTAAAGAGGCAGGGGGCTAGATAGTGTTTTTAATACTATAGGGTCAGGAATATCTTTGTGTTCCTGACCTGATCCTTTAATATTATTATGAGCCATTTATATTATTTTTTGCCATAAAAGTATCCAGGCCTTTTTAATGATATTTGTTTAATATGATACACCCACAACCCTAGGTATTCTATAATCTATATTATTCTTATTGTGTCACTCTTTTTTTTTTTTTTTTTTTTTTTTAATTTAAAAAAAAAAATAGTTACATTTTTAATGTAAAGAATAGATAAATATATATATATCTTTGTGTTCCTGACCTGATCCTTTAATTTTTATGAATAAATTATTTTTTGCCATAAAAGTATCCAGGCCTTAGAATGATATGTGAATATGAAACCCACAACCCTAGGTATTCTATAATCTATATTATATAATATATATATATATATATATATATATATATATATATATATTTTTTTTTTTTTTTTAATTCTCCAAATCCGTTCCTTTACCAGTTTGTTTAGTGAATAAATTATATTTAGGGGCCCAATGTAAAACAAGTAGTTTGGAAGGCAGGCGACTTAGAATGATAATGTGAGTAGAAAAAAAATGTTTTCTGTTATTAGTTTCAGGTATTACGTCACCGGCCAGATCTTTCTTTATTGGCTAACGTACAACGACGTTGCATCCAAACCACATCAGCATGCCTAAAGGTAATATATTTAATATACTTATATAGATAAATCAAAACTATTAAGCTTTAAATGGAAATGACAAGAACAAATGTGGACATACATTTTTGCCAACATGACCTATATGGAAATATGCTTCGTATGTATAAAGAAGTCAGTTATTTCTATTTATAATTAGGGTTCTTTTAGTTTTGACTCTATTCAGTTTCTGTTAATGAAATTTTTACATGCTATTTTAACTCTCTCAGGTACTGATACATTCATATTTTTTTTTTTCTTTCTTTCGTATACTAATGCGACATAAAAGCAGCTCTATCCCTTCATTTCATGTTTGAATATTTTAGAACGATTTTAGACTAATATAGCCAAACTGGAAATATTGCTGGCCTGGAGTATGTCTCAAGTTCAGATATTTGGGACTTAAATTTTATTTAGAATTTCTGACAATTCTCACTTAAGTAAATATAAGTTGACCGTAAGCAGAACTTCCCTGTCAACATTGGTCAGTTCTTGACACAGGAAGCTCCATCCTCTCGTACATCTTGTGAGTTGGTGTATGTAGGATCCTGTGCTGCCAGGCCTCAGCACACTGGACAGAGTTTTTACATTTTGAGGGTCTTTGCAGAATATGTAGGAATAGTAGTCGAATCACAGCCTGATGATACATTTTACATGCCAGTAGCTGACATTGTAAGGTTCACCTGAATTACCTATTTGTGAATAAATGTGTTTAATCTATTTATATCTATGCAGAATCGTGCTGCCCGTGTACGAGTGGGAAAAGGAGACAAACCTGTCACTTATGAACAAGCACATCCGCCCCACTTTATCGCGCACAGGAAAGGATGGCTGTCCCAGCACACTAGTAAGGGGGGCTGGCTTTCTTACTTAGTACATTATGCAGTTGTATTAGTATAGTACTGCCTCATCTTAATGCAGATGGCAAATACTTGAAATTTTGGGCAAAATATCCAACTTTGTATTGCAGTTTACACACAAATGTGATTGCTTATTTAAACCCTATTTAAGTGGTTTCAAGACAAACAACCACTACATGTCGACTCAGCCAATAAATGACTTTGAAATAAAGCTTATATGGTTAATGCAAACATTCCAGTTCCGGTAAGCAGTGACTAGGATGCAGGTACCTCAGACACCCAGCTTTGGTCAGTCTGCTCAAAAACAGCCAGGCCAAAGACTCTGCTTGCAATGGAAAGCTTAATACGTCTGTTCCCAGCATGCTGTGTATTCTGATTTTGTATTCTGTATTTTAAGCATAAAATTAACACAATGTTCTGGGCTGCCACAGTCACATTTGCTGGGGGTGTAACTTACCCCTGATATGCAAGTGCAGATTTCTCCATGTGTGCAGCATTTTGAGCAGTTTGCTACCACCATGACCATTTTATTTATTTATTTAATCTTTATTTTTGCATTGACGTAATGTGCGGCATAATAAGTCACAGTGGGTCTGTGCCGAGGCCCTTTCATAGTGCGTAGAAGTAAGACATGTTTTTACAGAAGGGAAGGTATGGTTAGGTTAATTGTACATCATGTCGAGCATGACAGAGTAGCCATGGTACAGTGCTTCAGCATTTTTAGTATTAAGCTGTGACAGTATATCTGTGCAAAGGCCTATGAACAGTGTGCATAAGCTTGACTGTTTTTTACAGAAAGGAAATGTTGGTTAGGTCATATGTACATGTCTAGCATTTCGGCTCAACAGTGGCACAAGTCGTCAACGTGTTTACATTTATATATACACAGAAAAATCATAACCGTAAACATTAACAGTGTGACAGATTCCTCTGTCTTGGAACTGTGCCTATAACCCGCTGGGTTCGTCTGTTTTTCAGTTGCCTGTCCGTACCCCCCATTCGTTTATTTCCTAAACTCACGAACAAACTGCCGAACGGCCGGCCACCCAGCCTGGAAGTGTGCTGCTGGTTAATCTCTTTGCCTCATTAGAACGTTGTGGTTAACTGCAGACACCTCCTAATTATCAACTGTATGCTGGGTGGTCTTTGTTCGTATGCCGACCACGAGGCGGCGGCCATTTTGGACGCATGAATGATCAGCGGTGTTCGGTGATGATTTCTTGGAATTGAAAACGGACACTATTTCTCCCGAACACCGCTGAAACCGCTGACCTCCCTTCTCTGCCTTCCAGCATACGAACGCCGGTCCGTTCGGTACTTTTCTGCACGAAATGACTTACCCCAGCTACCAATCCCATGGAGCCTGTTCGTATACCAAAAGACAATGTGAAATACTTTGGCTCCATGGCGATTGAACTGTGTGTATAGGATCTGAGCGCCATTCGGTAATAATTTTGTGCGCTCAGATCTATTTAGACTATTTTATTTTTTCTTTCTTTCGTATACTAAATGCTGACATACAAAGCAGCTCGATCCCCTTCATTCGTCATGTTTGAATATATTTATTATTACTTATTTTAGAGCTACTATATTGGCCAAACTGGAAATATGCTGCCTGGAGTATGTCTCAAGTTCAGATATATTAGGACTTAAATGTCTCTATTTAGATATGTTGACAATTCTCACCTTAAGTAAATAATACCTTTGTATGTTCGTTGTGTACAATAGCCTAAGTTGACCGTATAGCAGAACTTCCCCCCTGTCCCAGACATTGGTCAGTGTTCTTGACACAGGAAGCTCCATCCTCTCGTACATCTGTGTGAGTTGGTGCTATGTGATGAGCTCCTGTGCTTACTTTCTTGTATTGTGGTTTTGAGTTCTATGTCCGTCTAATTTGGAGTTATTGATTTTTAGTGTTATTTTTATTATTATAGTACAAAATGGAGTTTGTGTCCTCTATCCATGTGAGATAATTGGATTACTTCCCAATTATCTTCCAGGATAGACCGAGGAGGGTCTTCTCTCAGTTTCTAAAGTTGGGAGTGTTTATGCTTGTGTCCCTGGACTGTGATTGTGCTACGTATATCTCATAGTCTCTTGTCCCTGGCAGTCTGTCCATCTGCGTCACCCTAGGGAGTGTCCACTAGGGTGGTGAGATTTGCGCCTGCATAAATACTGTTTTTGGGCAGGTAGCCCTCAATAAATCAGATCGAGGTCTGCTTAACCCTCAATATGCCTCTCTAGGAGAACTTGGTGCTCGTACTTGGGGGTATTGGATCAGTCTTTGTATAGGTTTACTCGTTCTTTGACTGTATAAGTGGCACTATAGTGCCAGGATTTCTGTAGTGCCCTGGGTTCCTGTTCGGGCTGATTGGACGGCTTCTCGTTAGCTGTCTCAATCCATTCGGAAGGTGGTTAATCCTAGATGGACCTGGCACCCAGACCACTTCATTGAGCTGAAGTGGTCTGGGTGCCTATAGTGGTCCTTTTATACCCCCATTTATCTTGACCCCTGTTTTTAATATTGTGCTTCTGAATTTAAAGGGGCATGTGAAACACAGTAACCACTACAATACACTGTGTAACCGCATGTGGTTCCCTTATTTACCACTATAATGTCTTAAAGCATAGAACTTAGTAGGGCTAACCATACAGATATCTTAGCCATAATTTTATATAGTGTAAGAGATCCTCTATTTAACATATATAAATAATTGAGAATACAATATAAAATAAGGATTGTCTTGGAAGCAATAGTTTTGCCTTTTTGGATATTTATTATATAAAAATATAAATATAAAATCCACTATAACAGAGTTTATAAGATTAAATTACATGCTTGCAAATATTAATAGGGTAACATACCCTTGTGAACATGTCATCATGTCAGCCTCTCTGTCATTTTAAGATGGAGCAGCGTCTGTCTCCAAGTCTCTCCTCTGTGTCTTAACATTTAAAAGTACACCTATTTATACCTTAGGTGTCTCCATTTTAGGGTTACCGTAGTTCATTTACTTTATTCATTTTAGGACCTCCCTTAATTTGGCAAACATACAAGGCCATAACTAAAGGGTGCAAACGTCATGGAAATTTTCCTGACTTAGTTCAAGATGGCATCTTAAAGTCTGAATAAGTTATCTGTTGTTTATACTAAGTTGTAAGTGTACAGTCGTGGGAGATTCCCGGATTTGGGGAAGTTCCATTAACTTGGGGTTACCACAGTATATTGTGTACTGTAAGAGTCGTAGTATAGCCTTGATTCTTGTTTATGCATTATTGTTATTGTAATTGGTCTGGGACAAAATGGCGCAAACATATTATGCACTGAGGTTATTGCTTAAAGAAACATCTATGAAAAACAATATGTTCCATTTCTAACACCTTGTCAATTTGCAATATCTCTTAAAGACAAAGTACACAGTTTAAGAAATACAACATTTCATTCTAAAACTTGTAATATTTGCATTTGCCCATAACAACTGTAGTGGTTATGGTGCCAAGAATTCCCCGGCAACATTCCGCAGTAAGCTGTCAAACCATTTACAAAAGTTTTGACAACTTACCTGGCTCTGCTGGGTGCCAGCGGTCATTTCTGTTTGCACTGATATGCTAATGTGGAAGTTCATGTTTGCACAAAATTGATATATTACTAATATGAAACGTAATGCATTTAATGGCTGTGCATGTTTCATTGTTAATGAAATACTTTTTCCACAAGTTCACCTTTAACATTTTTACATAAACTGTAGTGCTGTGCATGTATATGGGATGAGATCCTGATTTATTTTAACTTTAGCTCTTTATTTCAGGTAACCTGGATGGAGAAGGGGGTGCTGCTGAGCGCACCATAGAGGATGTCTTTATCCGCAAGTTAATTTTTGGTACCTTCCACGGCTGCTTGGCCAATGAGATAGTGATCAAACGTCGTGCAAATCTTATATCCATCTGTGCCATCTTTATTCGCAAGTTGCCGCCACAGAAATTCTACTTTCTGATTGGCTACACAGAAATGTTACTTTCATTCCTGTACAAATGTCCTGTCAAAATGGAAGTGCAAACAGTAGAAGAGAAAGTAATATATAAGTACCTTTAACCCTAGTGTAGGGTAAAGGCAACAACACTTTAATTGCCAGTTATACACTTCCAAAAATAAAACATGCTGACCCTCTAGTTAGCATAACTTCATTAGGTATTTGACGCGTTAAACACTTCTGGTTTGTAAATAATCAATCTCATTTTGTATAATATTTGTGTTGGCTAACACTGAATCTATACTAATAAAACGTTAAAATAATAAAAAGTTTGTTATATCTATGAATTCAGAGCCCAGAACAGTATATACAGTTAACAGCTATTTTTAATTAATCAAATGCTGTGAGGCTGTATTGCTGATGACTAGTGTGTGTGCTTAGCATTGTCCACTTGTGGTCATCGGGTGGAATTTACTATATAAGGAGAGAAAAAACTACAGAGCTGCAAAAAAATAAAATACTGAACGTCAATGACTGCACATATCATGCATTTACGTGTAATGTCTCAGTGTGTGCTTTGCATGTCTTTTGTTCAATGAGTGTAATTGTTGGTTTGAAAACCACAGCTGAACTGAGTTCTTAATGTATGTAGGGCATAACCTTTATTATAATCTCAAACATTTGCAGGGTTATTTATTAAAGTGAGAGTTATCAGCAATTCAAAGTGAATTTAAAAGTTACGGCTGTCCGCGTAGTGGCAGTATAGCTGACTTGGAAAAACATTTCAAGTTCGGTTACTTTGGTCTTAGATTTGGAATTCTCGTTTAATTCATGAAAGTTCTTACTTTAGTAAGTAACCCTGCTTGATTTAGCTAGAATGGATAAAAGTATAAGGGAGGTTAATAACTCTATTATGGTGACATAGGGTTTTTAATCCATATATTTTAATTCACTGGTTCACAACCAATCCTCATGGTGCTCTAATGGTCATGGTTTTGTCAATATTTTGCCAGGAATGGAAAATGTCTAAATCCGGTTCATGTGCCTGGGTTGGGAACCACTGTTTAATCTATGTCATAGTTCACCTATAAAGGCAGGTCCTGTGGAGGTGACTGCTCAGTTTACTTTCCATAAAATTCTCCGTGGCTACTCTGACAACACAAACAGTACAATAAAATGCTCTAGTTAAAGGTACGCAATAGGCAGGAATTAACCCACACTGTGTTTTATTACGTTGTGTGTGTATATATATATAAAACATACAAAATCCTTATAATGCTCAGGTCAACATTGGTGACAAACGCCCTTCCATGGCCCTCTTCTAGTCAAGAGTCTCATTCTAATCTGTTCTTATCCCATTTTTAATCTGGTAGAATCTATGCTGCTGCTACTATCTGCTTATACACAGCAATCTGAACTATCAAGTGCCAGCTGTCACGGCAAGGGGCATAATTCATTATTGCACTATGGAATATTGTCCTTTAATGTAATTTGTTTAGTGCATTAATGATCTGCCTGCCTGGTAGAGATGGTATTGTCAATGTCAGAAGGTTTTGGGTGTTTTTTTGCCTTAATTCTCTTTGAAGCTGGGACCCCCACCGAGGTCAGATGACAGAAGGGGTAATGGAAATTGCTGTGGAATGTGAAAATCCATATGGATGGAGCCTGTGAATTAATCAAAGGCTATGTAAGGTGTGAGAGGTCGCACATAAGTACCCTGAATGTCTCTTCAGCCAAATGGCCTCTTCCTTTTAATTGGTGAGTGGATTTCTTTGATATGTTAATGGCCATTAGCCTTGTTCCAGTATAGTTACATAGCTGAAAAGAGACTTGCGTCCATCAAGTTAAGCCTACCTCACATTTGTTTTTTGCTGTTGATCCAAAAGAAGGCAAAAAACCCAGTTTGAAGCACAATTTTGCAACAAGCTAGGAAAAAAAATCCTTCTTGACCCCAGAATGGCAGTCAGATTTATCCTTGGATCAAGCAGTTATTACCCTACATTGAAAGATTATATCCTTGAATATTCTGTTCTTGCAAGTATGCATCTAGCAGCCGTTTGAACATCTGTATGGACTCTGATAAAACCACTTCTTCAGGCAGAGAATTCCACATCCTGATTGTTCTTACAGTAAAAAACCTTTCCTTTGCCTTAGATGAAATCTTCTTTCTTCCAGTCTAAACGCATGGCCTCGTGTCCTATGTAAAGTCCGGTTTGTGAATAGATTTCCACACAATGGTTTGTATTGGCCCCGAATATATTTGTATAATGTGATCATATCCCCTCTCAGGCGACGTTTTTCTAAACTAAAAAGGTTTAAATTTGTTAACCTTTCTTCATAGCCGATATGTTCCATTCCTTTTATTAGTTTTGTAGCTCGCCTCTGCACTTTTTCTAGTGCCATAATATCCTTCTTTAGAACAGGTGCCCAAAATTGCACAGCATATTCAATATGGGTCTTACCAGTGATTTATAAAGAGGCAAAATTATATTCTTGTCCCGAGAATGAATGCCCTTTTTCATGCATGACAATACCTTACTGGCCTTGGCCACTGCTGATTGACATTGCACATTGTTGCATAGTTTGTTGTCTATAACAATTCCCAAGTCCTTTTAATGTGTTGTTATCCCTAATTCGCTTCCATTAAGGGTATACATTGCTTGTGTATTCTTTACGCCGAAGTGCATAACTTTGCATTTTCAACATTAAATTTCATCTGCCATTTGAGTGCCCAGTCTATCTAAATCCCTCTGCAGCAAAGTAATATCTTGCTCACATTGTATTGTTTTACAAAATTTGGTGTCATCTGCAAACAATGAAACATGACTTTCAATGCGGTCTTCAAGATAATTTATAAACATGTTAAATAGAAGGGGTCCCAGAACAGACCCCTGAGGGACACCACTTGCCACCTCTGTCCAGCTTGAAAATGTACCATTAATGACAACTCTTTGTACTCTGTTTTTAAGCCAATGTTCTACCCAAGAACAAGCATTTTCATCTAGACCGATTTCCTTGAGTTTGAACACTAATCTATTGTGTGGAACTGTATCAAATGCCTTGGCAAAATCCAAATAGATCACATCCACGGCAACACCCTGATCTATACTTCTGCTTACTTCTTCGTAGAACGCAATCAAGTTAGTTTGACATGACCTGTGCTTCATAAAACCATGCTGATTTTTGCTGATAACCATGTTCTTCTCAAGGAATTCTTGAATATTATCCCTTAATAACCTTTCAAATATTTTACCAGCCACAGAAGTTAAGCTCACAGGTCTATAATTTCCAGGCAAGTATCATATCCAAAGGAAAAAATAGAATATTTACCCACAGAGTAATAATTAAGCCTCATTTTTGTTATATTTGTAATGTGACAAGCGCCATCTTCTAAACAAGCCTAAACATGAGTGACATAACTTGACCATAGGGGAAGGAATTGTGATGTCCGCCATATTGGGTTGCAAGTACGGCATGCAACATATCTATAGAATGGGAAAATAATAACATCCGTAGAAACAATTATTTCTGTGACAGGTACATAAGAGAAGAGAGCCAAATGTTTTAATTTAGATAGATGTGGATCTGGACACAAGGGGGTGGTCACTTAGGGTCTCTATACATACGCCTTAGCTCAACCTTTGGGTGAGGCGTGGTAACCCTGATGGTATCTCTCTGAGACTGAAGTATGCATTGTACTTGCTTGGGGCCAAAATCTAATTTTGAGTAAGTCACCATATTCCTTGCCGGAGACCACCTGGGCAGAAGTTTTACTTTGAAAACCTAAGTGAGTAAGTGTTTAGGACGTCTATTTTATCCCTTTTTGTTTTTATCTGTTGGTGTAAATAATTTTGTCATCTATATTTTTGTATGCACTGTTCTGCCTTTGTCTGTTAAAGATTCACATTACCTGAAGAGACTAATTAGTATTTTTGCAATTCCTTAAATATTGTGCTAAGTAATATTTGGTGGGTTTTATTATCGATTTACCTGGGGGACCAAGTTGCAGAAGTTTTACTTGCAACCAAGTGGGGCACATCAGTTTTACTTGCCCTGGGAAATGGCAGCCAGTATCATCAGATGGGGAGGGACGCTCCTCAGAACCAACTCTGTATTGTTTGTAAGCAGATCAAAGGGCAGCAACAATATGAATCTGCAACATGTGCCAGTTGGAAAGGAGGTAACTCAGGGACACTGGGGTAGATGTGACTTGTGTGGCCAGAGCCAGTGCGTTCTGAGGACTTAATTCCTGGCAGGACTCTAGCAGTTAAAGGAATTGGGGGGGTACAATATATTTGGATTGGGGTCCGGTGGAAGGGCTTCAGCGATGTGGGGGTATATGGGACTATCCCTGCAGACAAAGTTGCTGGAAGGGAGGGCAGAAAGAGCATGCGTGCCAGGCTGTGCCAAAACTAGAGTTGTCTGTGGTACAAGGTGAAAGTTTACCAGGGCAACTTTGCTGGGAGGGAGGGCAGAATGTGTGTCAATCTGTGCCCAACCAAGGGGTGTCTGTGGAAACGTGACAAATTTATGCCGGCAATTGTGCTGGGAGGGGCAGAATGAGCATGCGTGCCAGTCTGTGTCAGAACTACAAATGTCTGCAATTCCATGTGGGAATGGGCAAAAACAACTTCACGGAGAGGTAGGGCAGGATGAGCGTCTGTGCCTATCTGTATCAGAGCCAGGGTTGTTTGAGATGCCATGTGAAAATACAAGTGAATTAACTCATTGGGAGTCAGGGCAGGATAAGGTGGTAGGTTCACCCATGTCTCAGCCAGGAGTGGGTCAGGGGACAGATTTAGGAGAGTTTGAGGGGCTATGTGGGATTGGGAGAGGAAAGTATGTATGTATGTGCAACATTCTGTGCCTACCTGAAGGGGTGTCAAAGGTGTTCGGTGAAAATGTACAGGAAAAGCCTCCTAGTGAGAGGGGGCTGAATGAATATATGATGTGCTGTGTGAAAATGTAGAGACAGCATGGCTGGGAGGGAGAGCAGAGTGTACGTGAACCTTACTCTGCGCCAAACTTCCCAGTTCCCAAGGTTCTGTATGTGTGAGCATGGCCAGCTTTAGGCGCCCTGTGCGAAAAATCTTCACAGCTCAGATGGTGCAGCGAGCCCCGCAGACAGGTCCCCCCAAAAAGAGATGAAGGGTGTTGATACAGTGCAACTACCCTGGGAGTGTTCTCTGTCTCATCTCGTGTGCTTACAGGGGAGTACTGCAGAAATCTGTTGGTTAGAGCTACCAGGGTTTTCTCAAAACTTACAACCCTTATGTGAAGCATTTTTATGACGTGACATATTGTTATAGTAAAAGCTCACTGTGTGTACAATACATAAGTGACATTTGTAATATAGGTTTGTAGTACAAAGGTATGAATGCAGTGTAAAAGGGTAAAGGGCTCATTACATGGGAAGGGCACTCCAAAGTGAAAACAAATATGCATTGCACTCCATATAATGATAGCTTGACTTTATTATCTTCAAAATATGTTAACATGGAAAACATTGGAGACTCAAATTCTAACTTGCGAGCTAAGCCAGCGTATAGATTTGTTTCAGAAACTTGTGTATATTGCAATTTGATTTTGATTCATAGAGCGTTGGTGTGTAAATACAGTGATCAGGGCTGGCCTTAGACCGTTAGGCCCCTTTGGCACATCCCTCTCTGGCCACTTCCTGTTCTCTGTGTTTAGTGTCAGCGTTTGTGATTTTAGAGTATGTTTACGTTGTATTAGGTGAGTACCTGTGGGGAATGTCTGTTTCTGTGTGTAAAAATATAGATGAAACTGTGTATGTTTGTAACTGTTTGGGTGTTGTCGTGTGTGTAAATGCAGAGACTGAAAATGCCCATACATTTTAATTTTTTAACTAGTTTGCCCTTTTCTCATAGGTTTATATGTCCTTATATTCTCACATATCTTTCTCTATTATTTCTGCCCATTTGTCTCTCCTCCATTACTCCCAATGTGTTTCTTCCCATATAGTTCCAATGTTTATCATTCTACTCATATTCACACTTGTCTATTTTAATACATCTCTCTCCTGCTTGTCTATTAACCATCTTTTCCTCACTGGTGTCTCTCACCTAGCCTTTGCGATAAATATCACTCATGCTCTGCACACACATATCCATACTTGTATCTCTCCCTCATTTCCCATCATTAATTCTAGTTTATCCTTTATCCCATGTGTGTCTCCTTATACCAACACTTTCCAAACTGTGTTTCCCCCTACTTCTAGCCCAGCTGTCTCTTTTATATTCACACATCTCTCACTTATCCCATCTCCCCAATTTCTAACCACTGTTGTATCCCCCTGTGCTTCCCCCAGTTCTAATCTGTCTCTCTATTCCACCCCTTTGCTCAAGTATTACCTCTTTTCTATCTCCACTGTCCCTCCTCCATTTCTAACCTCTATTAGCCACATGACACTTCATCATCAAAGTCTGTCACATTATCTCCCAATCTCTATTTCCCTCATACTGTGCTTTCATCTCACCCAAAATGTGTCCATATTATTAACTTACTATTTTGTGCTGGACAGAATGTTAGTGTTGATCTTTCTGTGCACTCCCTCGCAGAGCTCCTCAGTGGCAGGCAGACATTCTCTGTGTGGGAGTAGAGCATAATTCCGCCTCCCATGACTCACTCAGCACAGGGAAACTCCTGCAGGCAGTGTGAAGTCAGAAATATCCTGTGTGCATTCTCTGTCTCACAATAAAAGCAGGGAAGACACTGCAGTGAGAGTCCTGGCACCTTGCAATCTTTAAAACAGCCTGCTTGTCAGTAGAACCTGCGAGCTGTGTCGGCTCCATGGCACACTGTGCCGCACAGCTCCCACACCCATAAGGCCGGCCCTGGCCGTGATAGCTTTCTTTGCATTGACAATGTGTGTCGAGAGGGATGTATATGTGCTCTGGCCAGTGAGTATGAAATCTGATTTTCCTGGCCATTCATGGCAGCATCATTTATGGGTTAGCTCCACCCCAAGAGGAACAGGACAGGAAACAATTAATTATAACCAGACTGTAGGCATAAAAGGTCCCCCTCCCTCTAACCCACAATCTTTTTTTTCT